TCAATACGAGGCCACGTATCATAGCTACACATCCATACAAAAAATTTAGTATTGATTGCATACTTTTCCAAGAATAGTTATTTTAATGACTTTATGTGGATTTTCATGCTGTTTCTATTTGCGGACGACCTGGTTCCAGTTCGTGGACATTCACAGACCCAGTTTGTGGACGACACTAGTTATTTTTTTTTTACAATCATGAACATGGATAGGCCTTATAAGAAGATATAACCATGGAATGTGTGCAGCAGTTTTATTCATCGTCATTGAGATGAAAATGAAAGAAATATCACTCATTCTTCACCCATTTTTTGGCAAGCACAGCTACATCCGCCCATTTTGACGAAACCACCTCAATACAGTTGAAAACCCGGTGCACGTTCTCCGATGAAGTCCTCCAGACCTTGATCTGGTCGCTCAAACAAAATTGTATTCATTAATCCAGACTAAAAGTTTCTCTTTTTTCGCCAATACCTTTTCCTTTCCGGTGATCTCGGGCCTCCTCATTGAAATATCAGGCCTCCACTTCGTGAATATTTTAAGACATCTTTATTCTGGCAAGTTATTAGAAGACGGCCTATTTGCTCCTCTATTATCAAGAAACTTCTTTGCCAACAACGCTAGTTCTTAACAACGTGTTTTTTCGTACATATAATGCGAATTTACAGTGCTGGCCTCCTGTTTAAAATGTTTCTGATTTTGAAAAACTTCACTGATAAGGATTAAATCATTTGATGGAAGGCTTTTTGATGCAATTGGCCAACCTTGACTCTTTCTCTGCGGACAGCACAGGCAAATGACCCTATATTGCCTTTTTGAGGGGCCTAGCACCCTTGGTCATCTGATGAAGGGCTATTAAAATTGAGGCGAATGCTGTGATGAATTTTCTAATCTCTAAAGAGTCGATCTTCCAGCAGATCTTTCAACAGCTAAGAGGATTGAGTCCTACCTAGATTTCTATGAAAGATCTGCTGGGAGATCGACTCCTTTTGGGGCTAGAAAATTCATCACAACATTCTTCTCAATTTTAATATTCCGTCAATAGACCCCTAGGTAGCACATTGAAAAAGTGTATAGAAGTTACCTTTTTGAGGGCCACGAACGTATATGAACGGCCGTGGGCGACAACAGTGGAAAGCCCATGACCGTACATGTACGTTTTGCACATTTGCTGGCCAGCGCCCACGCACATGGTGGGCCAAAAAAAAAACATGGGTTATCTTCATCACTCCACAGCACTGGTCTCCAAGAGTTTGCTAAAATTATAATTGTGCCTCCATGAAGAACATTCATTTAGCTTTCGAATGATGTCGACAAAATAAAGATTTGTGGCCTAACTACAAAGCAGTTAGATGAAGAGTAGAAGAGATGGCGCTGGAAAAGTTGGTGCCATACTGCAATTTCAGCCAGTGCATGCAAGAGGTCGCATTCTTGCCATAAACGAAAGAATGGACATCACCTGGAGCACATCCCATGTTGTACTGGTGAGTGCACTTTTCAAGCACTACCTCTGTTACATTGTGCGTAACTGCATCGGAATGACAAATCGGATCTGAAATCTTTTGACATCAGTGGAAAGCTAAATGAATGTTCTTCATGGAGGCACAATTATAATTTTAGCAAACTCTTTGGAGACCAGTGCTGTGGAGTGATGAAGATAACCCAAGTTTTTTTTGGCCCACTCTGTACAAGTACTGTTGGGTATATAATGTGTGGAGGCCATATTCCTTACCTTGGCCAGAAACTGGCGCCTCTAACGGCCAAGTTAGTAACTATTTGGAGAAGGGGGATGTACGGACACACATTTCACCTAGTTTAAACCGTAGTATTAACCGTAGGAGGGAAAAAACATTGGATCTGAGGTGATGCCCTCCCTCTCCACTCGCGGACCTCAAAGGGTTAATTTTGACCCCTCTAAAGATGAAATGTTGCCAATCACCATCAAAGACATCTGTCCTCTCATGAGAAGAATAAGAATGGTGTATTGCAACTGGAAGTACCTCAGGCTTAGAATTTTTTTTATCACCCCACGTATTTATGGCAATGGAATTGAATTTTATTTCTTCAACTTGTGTTTTCTCTTCCGTTTCTCTTAGCTGATGGATACGTGTGTACACAAAACTCAATGCCTCTTTCCAAGGCTGTAAGGAAGAGTTCTTTTACCGTTGCGGAAGAGATCACTCATTCAGCACCTTAGTGATTTCGTGTAAAGTACAATACAATTCTATGAACTGTGGAAACGAATTGAGCTAAAGCTGGCTTACGTTAGCCCTTATGATGCACAATTTGACATTCTCGAAATGAAAATGAATGATAGGGTGTATGGACACAAAATCGGGGTGTGGAATCGCGAATATGTAAAAGTCAACGAACACTATGAGAGGTGTGACATGATCTGAAAAAAGTGATGAGGTGATACAATCGGGATATGTAGGGATGGCAGATTGCCTTGGTTTCACTGAAAGAATAGGGTACGCCAAGTTACCGTGCTGAATTACAGTGGAGAGTAAGCTCGCGTATAGCAATACTTCTATGAGTTACATTCCTGGTTACTAACCGCCCCAAGCTGCTACCCCTAGCATCTGATGACATCTGGTGAGCAAACTTTCATTTACGCAAGTGCTTGGCGAGAGTTCCGAGACTATATTTATCTAATGATCCTTGCCTGCCTAATTATGGCACCCCGAGCAGAGTGTAGAGAGTGTAATGAGAGACAATGATTCAGTTGGACCCCATTCATTGGCAGGGCCGTCGTAGTATACACTGTTACGGAAAGGGATCTGTTTATTTTTCAGAACACCTCCATCCGATATCGTGCATGCCTCTTGTTTTTCTGCAAATGGCATCTAAGACGAATAAATAAGATTCCTGCCAAGTTTTAGAAATATTCACCCAGTCTTTCAAATGCAAACATTTTAGAGTTTAAGAATGGAAAATCGCAGCTAACAAACCATCCGTATACAACTTTTCTCCAGGTACTCCTATTTGCCGAGGTCCAACGTAACGAAGTTCAGTTGGCTTCAATTGAGAAATTGGCTTCTGATACCACTTATCTTGTTTTCTTGCGGTTGCTTTGCGTTCTGGTTGCATTTTAAAACCTTTTAAAATGTTTTCCATAGGCCTCAAGTCTAACTCTCATATCTTGCAGTTTCTGTCATTTCTCGAATCGTGATTTTTTCATTATAGGGACAACATGGCATTCAGCAAAGAGGACAAGCACCTGGTCAAATAAACGGGCACCCTTGATTTTGATTAATTAAAACACTCGTAATAAAATAAAATATTACTTTCTAAAAAAATATATATATAATATTCGAGATTGCCTGTCGCCTTTTTGTTCAGCAATGCGTGCGACCGCCAAAGTGGCGTACCTGGTGAGAAGCAACATCCAAATTACTTGTCTGCTGCGATTTTCGATACTACCCTTGAATAAATTATTGCATTTGAAGCACTATGCGAACTATTTTGTAAATTTTGCAACACTTTTATTCCACCGAGGGAGTCCTTATGGGAGTCCGTCAATGAAATACTGCCGCTAGAATACAATCCCTATGTCGCTGCCAATAATTCTGTCAAACGGGAGTGTTGTAATAGGGGCCACCAGATGTCTCTCGAATATTTAGACCGCTCCTACCTCGCGTACTGTCGCATCTCGTCATACTCTATACTTATTGCCTTGAGTATATAAGCTGATTTCTCATAGGATATATAAAAGGATTGAATGAAAGTAAAACCGTGATGCTTTCCCTAGCCAGAGCCACCCAAGGCAACAGGCAGGCTATGACCGGCTCCTAGCCTAGAAGAAGACATATAACTAAGTCCCAACTATGGCAAAACAGCCTGCAGGTATGGGGGCAAGGCTTAAGGAACTTAAAAAGAAAAAGGACAGTGAAGGATCCTATCCCAGAAATTCGTCATGAAGCCTGCGTCTTCAGGGGGTTGAGGCCACTAGACTGACTCACAAACCCTATCCAGATAGTTTCTGCCGTCAGGTGTTACAGCTACAGATGCAAATAGTTGAGGCTGTACCTAACGCCCCAGAAGCAAATCGATCCCAAGAAGCATCGAACTAATCGATCGTTTAATTGTGGCTCTGGCAGATGGACTTAAGCCGGGATTGCTTTTTTTAATTACTGGAATGAGTTAAAGCAACATAGCCAACTTTCGGTGAGTGCATTGTGTTTACTATCACGCGACAAGATCCCAAGATAGTCAAGTAGGAGCGGGCCTACCCCTGTCCCAAACGTTAGGCCTTGGCCTTACGTTATTCTATGAGAGATGTTGCAGCTAAGCTTGACTAAGGCAAGTAGGCGTAGTTAAACCTGGTTCCACAGGTATTTCTAGTTGAATCTGGAACACGACTTAAAAGAGGGAGTGAAAAGGAAAAAACTCCACCCCTGAGCCCCTGGTCATGTCTTGCGCTCATGCTGCGGGCCAATCTTTATCTGCCTATCATGGACATTGTTTTTCGATTGATTACGCCCCCACCCCTCCCGATTGGTGTTGATTTTCGATTTTTATAAGCGAAATTATAAGCGCAAAATCTTACGTCAGTGGCTCCCTACCTTTTGTGACCAGCGGTACACTTCAAGTGCCCCTTTTCAATGGCAGAGTAATTTGAATTCCTTTTAGAAAAATTTCCTCGCTCAGAGAAGCGAGGGGAGAGGGGGGTTTGCTGAGCAAAATTTTGTGGTGCGAATGTAGACGTTATCCTTGACCCTTGACATAGGCTGTGTGGAGGATAGGTTTCATGGCCTATAATCTCACGCTGCACAAAAATACCAGTTGCAACGATATCTTGGGAAAATTCCATATCGACCGGTTGTCAGTATCGATGTCAGTACAGCAGTAGTTTCCCAAGTACTCTTAATAAGTATTTAATAAAGAAAAAAGGACGATCATAGGCCTTGTTCCTCTCTTACGAGCAGGTGTTGATCTTCACATTTGGCATTGATAAAGCGTGTCAAGGGAAAAGTAAAGTGAGAGGAGAGGATGCTACGATGGAGTCATACGTTCCCGTGATCCTCCTGATGGGGATGCTCGGCGTCACGTTAGCTCTGTCCAAATTCACGAGGTTTAAGTTTAACATCCCTGCATTCCTTCAGGGCGTGAGGAACGAAGTCAGAAATCGAGAGCTGGAGAAGGTCGAGATGGAGGCCGTGATCGCCAAATTGACAGAAGATTCCCCAACCCCTTTCCCCAGCGCCATCCAGGTATCATTGATCCTGTAATTTCACAAATCGATGTATTCACGATTGAATCTGCACAATTTGTTGGTTGACTAATGAAGTGTCTCATCCGCATTTCCTCCATTCATGAACTCCTCCAGTTAAAAATGTTTATTTTTGCTGTATCGCACGAAGATGAGAGAAATTTATTACGAAGAACGGCAGTGATGTAAAGCTCATTATTTGATACGGTCGAGAGACATGTCATGTGAGTGGGTGATGAATGAATTATGATGTAACAACAGGAGAAGGTGAGGGAGGTGGAAGACAAGTGGTCAGAAGTGATGGCCCTTCTGGAAGAGGCGGAACGATCTGTCCAGGAAGCCTCGGCTGAAATCGGCGACATCCCCGACAGCCATACCAAGACGGAGGCAAGGAAACAGATGGTGATATCCAAGGAGGCGGAAGACTTACCCCGTATCGAGGAAGGGGAAGACTTGGAGCAGAGGAAGGCTCGAGCGGCTTCCGCCTCGGCAGTCTCGTCCCCCTCGACCCGAACCCCCAGCCCTAAACCAAAGGGACATGGATTCTTGTCCAAAGTGTTCTTTGGGATGCGGAGAGATCGACCCAAGAGCCAGGAGGAGGACAAGTCGCCCAAAGTGGAAACCGGCGGTCCTCCTCTCGCCTCTTCCACACCTCTTCCGGCCATCGATGCCGATGACGTCACTGACGTACCCGATTCGGCTACGCCAGTTCGACGCAGTCTACACACTGAACTTCTCCTGGAGCACATTCCGAAAGGTTAGAATTTTACGTAGTTTTTTAAAAGTCATGTTTTACTTATGACCTAATTCTCCTCCTACGCCTCTTCCTTAGAAACAGTCACGAACTACTTTTTTTTGCCATTAACGCGCTTAAGTGTATAGCAAAAAAGGTTTCAATGGGCGTTTAACGATGAAATACCTTCATCTTACCTTTCGGAGTTCGGAAGCTTCATACACAATGGTATCCAAAATGGCCCACTTCCCTCGAGGAATTTCTTCGAGGGCATATCTCGCAATCAATCATCCATAGTTTTCCGGGTTCTTTTTAGCGTTACACTGCCTGGTCATAAGCAAATAGACGTGTTATGAGAATGGCCGGAAGATTGGATGGCAGGAGAGGACGAAAGAAAGCCAGGGAACGGCCGGGAATCGAACTCTGATTGCCGGTCAGGTTTGCTACCATTACACCACCGAACCCGGGACATTCAATCGTGCCTCTCAATGCCATCCTTATCATTACAGACGCCCACAATTCAAGCTGCGATGAGAAAACACCTACTTATTCCACAATAAAGTAGTTCTTGCTTCTGTGACAGACAGTATCAATAATTAGTTGAATGTCCATTTCCCTTATGCAATAGCAGTAGCAATGCAGTAGCAGGTGCTGGCATGCTTTAGATGAGTTGTGCAATGGGGTGTCGATTTCTGACCAGGCACAATATATATCAAACTCTTGTCAAAAGCCCACCAGTCAATGGGCACCAGGCAGAAGAAACTTATGACGGAAAGGATACCAAGGCAAGATTATTGACGCCGTTCGATCAGCTTCGTCTGGGGGGTGGGGGCACTGACCTCAGCATCAACAGCTAATTGAACCTGTTTCTGCGGTCAACCTAACATGCCAGGAATAGTGAATAGAAGTCGGAAGTACTACTCATTCCAAAGGCAATTCCAGCTTAACCTTCTCTACAGTATACATTTCTTCGACTTCAATTATTTGCTCAAATGGTCTCACAAGGATAGCTAAAATAAAGCATTATGCTTTTGGCCAAGTACCCGGTAGAGGACGTTCAGCATGCACGGAAATTGCGATACTCAAATTGCTTCTGGTGAGAACAACCCTATTCTTACATATGGCCAGCTGCAGGCTGACTTACACTCCGACAGATTCCAGAAAGTTTTTACCCAACTGAGGTTATGCAGAATGAGAAAGAAGCTCAACCACGGGTATCACGATTTACCGGAATTTCAAGAATATGCAGTATGTTGCCGCAAATGGATTCAAGCGAATCCATTAGTGAATTACTCTGGCTTCGAACAATCTTTTCTAAATATATATATTCCACATTCTTGTCCACATCGATCAGAATGTGAGCTCGACCAACCGATTTGGACGAAAATCGGCATAAATTTAGCGGGATAGGTTTAAAGAAGCTGATTTCAACCAATTATTTATATCTCCCACCGATCTTCAGATATATGTATTTGAGTGTCTTCTATTTTTGGCTCATGACGCCCATACCGACCGAAATTGTGAAGCTGTTTCTACTAGAACTTCTCTTTTGGTTAAAATAAAGACTTCATTCTGCTGTCATTTCAACTCTATATTGCATGGTATATGTAAGCTTTAGATGAAAATTTTCAAGTTTCGCATTAATTTCCTTAAAGGTACGAAAGTAAGATATTTTGCGTCAAACTACCAAAATTCGGTCATTTTCTTGCAATTTAGGGTGTTTGTCAAAATGTAAGAAGTTTACAAAAATAAAAAACTGCAACAGGTATACTTTGTAAAACCTTAGACAAAGATGTGAGATGAATGTATGAGACAACTAATGCATGATAAAGTTTTTTTTTAGGCATGAAATACAATAGTGAAAAAATTAAGAAGATTGTAGTGAAATAAGGCAAAAAGTATTTTCTCAGCTATGATACTGACCTGGTGTTTTCAGTATGCTTCCAGTTGGTAACAAATGTACATTTAAAAGGTATTGATGTTCTTGCCAATTGGGAACATCAAGGATGTTTCAGAAATTTCCCCGATTGCCACAAAGTGAGTCTCGAGCAATTTCATATAAAAATTATTCTGATATGTTCGATATTTGGCACACTATGCAGTAAAGGGTTGATATTGAAATTGCTCTCTTTAAATTGAGTATAGACCATATTCTCCAAAGTTGAAACAAGAAGTTCCACTTGACCAAACAGTTTGATCAAGTTCAGTGTCCAATATCTACACTTACCACCTCTGGAATCCCTTGTTCCAATACTTCATTCGAAAGGGTATGTTATGTCCTATAACGATAGAAAATTCGAGATTGGCATTCAACGGCTTGATGAGATATGACTATTTGTAGCATTAATACCAAAAATTCCGCATGATAGAACCGCTTGACCGATTTCAGTAACCGACATCCGCACTTGCCACTCCAAGAATCCAGGCTTTTAATACTTCATTGAAAGTTTATGCTATGAATATTCAAATGAAACAAGTTCAAGATTTGCGCCTTCAAAAATCATATTGGAGAAATTATTCATATCTTAGTGTGAAGTGGAATCTTTCCAAGTGAATTTCTTCAGTTCATTTGATGAATTCCTGTTTGTGCATTAAAAAAAAAGAGGATATCAACTCTCGTGTCAGTGTCTCCAAGGAACTTGTAACTCTGCCCAGAGAAAGCGTTTGGAACAGGAAGGGTCAAGAGGATATGATGAAGTGGGACTGGACTTCTTTCCTTTTGGTTCTTTGGCCATCTGTGCTCCCTTGCTGCCTTCATGGGAGCATAAATTGTACTGTAATATGAAAGTCTGAATTATTTTCATAAACAGTTCCCACATACCTCATAAGCAGTTCCACAGGTGGCAAGTGCAGATATCGAACACTGAACTTGATAAAACAAAAAAGCTAAAACAAAAAGTTCCTTTAGATCAAACTATTTGATCTAGAGGAACTTTTTGTTTTAGCTTTGGAGAATATTGTCTAGAATCGATTTAAAGACGGCATTTTCAAAGTTGACGCCAGAATAAAGCCTCCATCTTAACTGAAAGAGAAGTTCTTGCAGAAATAGCTTAACAATTCCGGTCTGTATGGGCGCCATGAGTCAAAAATAGGTGACATTCGAATAAATATATCTGGATATCGGTGCGAGATATAAAACATTGGTTGAAGTTAGCTTCTTTAAATCGATCCCTTTACATTTATGCCGATTTTCATCAAAATCGGAGATTGTTGAGGTCACACTCAGGTTGATTTGGCGTGGGATGATACATATATTTATATATGAATAAATGTGACATGTAAGCATGTAAAATGTCAAGCAAGCATTGAACGCCAAAACTCTCTAACCAAACAGGAAGACAAGAAGGCCAGAGCATAGCCCTGTGCATGTGGGCTCATGGCTAACCACCGATGCTGTCATGTCCCCAATTTACTTTCTTCGGAACTCCGCCCCTTGTACACCACGTTCCTCATTTACACTTCTTGGCCGTCATGCTTCTTAATCTTTACTTTTCTTCCCTATTGTTTCTTGGTTTTTTATTTCAACAGGGGTTTGATATTCAGTTATTTCTTGAATGACGCTCAATGGTATTCAAGAATGTAAGTCTATTATATGATGAGAAAGAAGGATGAAATTGTAATACGGTGAATATACAGGGTGGGCCAAGAAAAACGGACAGTTGTCAACGGTACACTATACTGCACTCACAGCATACATTTTAATGCGGTTTGCTGCATTTGAAAGAGAAATGAATAAGCTTTGCAATGGTATATTTACATTTCAAATATCTTCAACATTCAGAAATTAGGGAACTCATATAAACACCAAGCAAAAATTTCGTTGCCGCAGGGCAAGACAGGGATGGACAGGCGGCGGCCTTCATGACTGAAGGTCACATGCCGTCTCCCTCTGAGAACGCGACAACATAGTTTTTTTTTGCTGTTCATATGAGCTCCCGAATTTCTGAAACTGCTAAAGATATTTGAAAGGTAAACATATCACTTTAAAGCTTATTCCTTCCTCTTTCAAATGCCGCAAACCGCATTAAAATGTGTGCAGTGCGTGAAGTGTAGTGTATCGTTGAAAACTGTCCTTTTTTTTGGCCCAACCTGTATACTCCGTATATGCTAAAATGGTTTGCTGACTTCCGACTCGGACAATGGAGTCCCGCAGATCAATCTCACTCTGACCGACCATTTTCATCAATATCTCCCAACTCATTGGACTGCCTCCCGCGAATACTCGAGAATGACCCATCTTGCCACATAACGAGAATATTCAGCAGACATTCGGCATTAAATTAGGGAATGTCAGCATCATCCTTCGTCAAGAACTTGGAGTTAAGAAGATTTCAAGTCGCTGGGTTCCTCATCAGCTGATGCTCGGAAGCAAGACCAGTTCAATGGGTAAAAGTTTATAGTGCGAACATTTGATGGAGTTTGATGCTGCAGTGTTCATGACATCGTCACTGATGACGGGTCATGGATATACCAGTTCACTCCTAAGGCGAAGCGACAGTAGACAATGTCTTTTCTAGGTGAACCAAAGTCGAGAAAGACCAAGTGGGAGCACAGTATCTGATAGAATATTGTTGCCCTTTTCTTCGGTATTTCCGGCCCTGTGGCAACAGTGACTCCTGAGGATCAGAGGACTTTCCGTGCCTAGCGGTACTGTGAATTGTGCCTCCTCGATACCTTAAGGAGATCCAAGCTAGGTGTCCAAAGACAGACGTCAGAAAAACCCTTCTGCCCAATGACGATGCATGCGTTCACACCAATGCCAAAACCTTGGACTTTTGGCCGAGTCTTTGTTCATGCTGGTGATGCATCCCTCCTTTAGCCCGGACCTATCCTACGAAATGAGTTGGTTCCTAAAGATCAAGGAACAAGGGTGGTAGGGTTGGAGTCCTTTAATGAACCCCGTGGCCACCTTCATCGACCCGAGAGCTTCCGCGCGAGACATGGCAGGAGTGCTTCTATGGATCATGAGGAAGGAAGCTGCGTAGCAGTCCAAAGGCCGTGCTTTGACATGTGATGTTCATTGGCATTC